TCGTTTTGTTTAATAGATCAAGAAATGTAAATATTCCCCTGTTATTTTTTATAAAATTATAAGAGAAATAAATTTTTTTCTTCATAGTATATTTATTATTTTGTAGAAAAACAAAATTTCGAAAATTTTAGTAATGTTTCAGAAACAACCGTTATTAATAATAGGTACCATTTTCCTTAATAAGGTAGAAATAAAATATAAACTATTTCCACGATTTCAAAGGCCTACAAAAAAATTATAGGTATTTTCCGCTATCCTATAAAATTTATATTTTCTGACTCAATTTCAAAAGGTTGAAGGAATTCCAAAATACTTTTTATGGCATAATAATTATTTTCAATTCTACATACTATCTTTAGCTGCTTTTAAAAACGTTTTAAGAAAGTCCAATCAGACCAATTTAATCCCTAAACTATTCCACACTTTTAAAATTTAATTACCTAAAAATATTAAAAACTATTTAAAATAACTTGTTTAGCAGACTGTACAATAGCTATCTTAGTCACACGTAGCGCGTTCTCTGTCTGGGCGTCGATCACCTCTAGAAATTTGATGAACTGTAGTTGTACTAATTTGTAGCTAATGTATTTAGGATTCTTTCTTTTCTTTTTCTTGCTGTTGCTAAAATTATTTTCTGTCGAAATATTATGCTTAACATTTATTTCATGTATTTTGTTCTGTAAATGGATTAATTTGTTGGGCAATAAAATTATTTTTATTTTAATAAGCAAAAAAATCTTTATTTTGATGCACCACCTTTAAAAGTTTGTCAGTATATTAACGAGAAATCCTATATAATTCCCAAAGAAAAATATTTTTGGAATAAATTCCGAATTCTATTTATTGATATTTCTTATTTTTTAGGTTCAATGACTCGAAACATGATGATCAGCTACACCAAGAATATCCTTGATACTTAAAAAAAATGGTACGAGATTAAGCAGATTTGATGCTATGTCACATTGTGGTGCGAAGACGTGGCTTGTATAAATTTGGGGTATCAGTTGATACAAAACAGTACGCAAAAATAAATTTAAATCTGCAGATGCATCAGAGATAGCCATATTACATACCACAATATGTCATGCGTGAACTCGATGAGATTTCATCGGCTAAGTATCATTCATCTGTAATGTTTTGTATCATTAGGAACACGCAACATTGTAAACAATTATGACCAGGGTTTTTTGACCTTTTCCCTAGGTCAGAGAGAATAAATGAATACTAAATAATGTATAGTAATAAAGATTGAAAATATATATACTTATAAGAGTTTTATTGTCAGCCATAGTTTTATACCAAAAATGAAAATAAACTGAAATTATACATTAAAAATACATTCATAAATAACTATATTTATAACACTCATCAACTCTCTCCTGGCTAAAATATTACTTATCTATCTATTAGGCTCTGTTCCGTCTATTTTTTGCCTCTAGCCTCCTTCTGACACTTCCATTCGTTCTTATTTAGTGTAGTATTCACATGGTTTTCAGAATATCAAGTGTTATACCTATCTGATGCTTAGTCCTGCAAAGTTCATCTTCAGTACAGTTCATCAAATTTCTAGAGGTGTTCGACGCCCAGACAGAGAACGCGCTACGTGTGACTAAGATAGCTATTGTACAGTCTGCTAAACAAGTTATTTTAAATAGTTTTTAATATTTTTAGGTAATTAAATTTTAAAAGTGTGGAATAGTTTAGGGATTAAATTGGTCTGATTGGACTTTCTTAGAACGTTTTTAAAAGCAGCTAAAGATAGTATGTAGAATTGAAAATAATTATTATGCCATAAAAGGTGTTTTGGAATTCCTTCAACCTTTTGAAATTGAGTCAGAAAATATAAATTTTATAGGATAGCGGAAAATACCTATAATTTTTTTGTAGGCCTTTGTAAATCGTGGAAATAGTTTATATTTTATTTCTACCTTATTAAGGAAAATGGTACCTATTATTAATAACGGTTGTTTCTGAAACATTACTAAAATTTTCGAAATTTTGTTTTTCTACAAAATAATAAACTATACTATTTAGAAAAAAATTTATTTCTCTTATAATTTTATAAAAAATAACAGGGGCATATTTACATTTCTTGATCTATTAAACAAAACGATAAATTATCTCGACGAATGACACCATGTTCTAGTACGGAAGCTAGCTTTACATTTTTGTTGGTGGTTTCATGGGTTTCATATCAATTTTTTGTAATTGTAGTTTACACGTACATATACCTCTTAACACTTGTTTGCTTTATTAAAAAAGTGTGTTGTTGTGATTTACGTCGAAATAAGTAAAAAACAACTTGAAACCCCATATAAAATCAAAAAGGAGAAACGGAAAAAAATTGAGCCTGTAAATGAACACAACTCAGAAACAAAAATAGCTATCTAATAATAAAAAAATAAAATTTGATTCTTGTGCAGCTTCATCTATATCATTAACTGTTTTTGGTTTTTTAATGGTTTTTCTTGGTGATGAAAATTCCGATATCTCACGGTTATCGATTCTTTTTTTTCTCTCCAGAAATGCGGACGACAGTGTTTTTAGATACTCCTGTGGCTGCAGCAACACGATCATTTACATTTTTAAATGGTATTGAAGGTGAATTAAAGTTTCCTTCTCTTCTCATAAACTCTATAACATTGGCTATTATTTCGCGAGATTGACTGTTAATCACGCGGCCTCTTAATTTGCTATTAAACTCCATACTTAGGTTCTATTAAACTGTAATGAGCAAAAAACACAAACGAAAATAAAAGAAATGTTTTAGAGAAATTTACATCTGACATTTACGTCTGAATGAAATAGTGAAATACTTGATGCGCAGAGTGTACTTTCATTGCGTAAATCCACATACTTTGATTTTCTTTTACTATACGGAGAATGGTCGCACTGCGCAGCTTTCTGAGTGCCTTTTAAAAGGAGATAGAAAACTCCGCCATTTTGAACCCTTATTACGTGTTGCCTACATCTTGGCGCAATATTTTTAATAGGTGCGTTTTAATCATCCGCTTCTGCTTCGAAATTGTCGGTTTTCTTGTTTTAATCTGACAGGTTAAAACGACTAAACCGACAATTCCGGAAGCAGAAGCGGATGATTAAAACGCACCTGATATTTTGCTTGCTGCTGTCAGTGTCAGTGAATATTATTTTTGAAGTCACAGTTTATTGCTAAAGAATCAGTTAGCTCACTCGGACCAGTTGAAAGTTCCAAAATAACATCCACTCCAGGGATACAAATTCAGTATACGCAGAAGAGTGCTGTTTTATTATAGGCGGTTGTCATATATTGTATTATCCGAGTTGCACAGTGTATAAAATAAAACATTAAGATCAAAAGTGCCGACGCAGAGTGAGTGATCTGATTCTTTAGCTGTAAACTGTGTCACAGGGTTCAAAATGGCCGCGCCCTATGTTGGGCGTGTCATACCTCTCTCTTGCCTCGTATAGTAATCAAAGTATGTGCGTAAATCCGTCGGGATGCCTGTCAGTAGTGCTTTCTCTGTCTAGCCGTCGAAAGCCTCTAGAAATTTGATGAACTGTACACCTGCTTATGTGACATCTATCTTGATGTCAAGTTTAATTGAACACCCGTTTCTTGCCTATTACTCTTATACTTAACCAGAACTAGCTTAGACTTGAACGCATATGTCTAGTTCGGCCATAACACAGCCTTGGTACACAAATATCTATTTTACCGCTGGTTTCATTACAAAAAACTGGAGTAAAGGGTAAAATTATCTCTTGTTCAGTACACTCGTATAATACACTTGAGTATTAGCCTATATTATTTTTGATTGAAGACGTATACATTTAAAAATGTCGTTTACTTAAAAATAAACATTTAATTTTGATATTTTATTTAACTCGATCAAAACATTAAATTATTATTTTCCATGGCTTATACCGGACCTGTATATACTCTAGTAGCCATGGAGTAGCTGACAGTGTTGCCGTCAGTTGCCGCCACATATTCATTAGTGACATACGTTTTATAAATTTATCGTGTTACAAATTTGTTGACATAAAGAGATAGAAATTTAAAGTGACGTCTTTTATTACTTCGAATGAAAAAAATCGATAATGCAATTTTCTAACCTAAAAAAAATCGTGATTATATGTCAAACAAAATTGAACTTGGCCTTAAAGAGTACATGGGTAACGCAGCGCTGCGTTGCGTTATTGCGTTAACGCAGTTGTATGCGTTACGAGCGTTGATACACCAGCTGATACTAGAGAGTTAAAGCAATGCCAGAAACGTATAAGTAAACGTATCTAATGACAGATACGCATGCGCAATAGCTATTTTACCCACGTATCTATTTACGTCTTGCGTAAACGTACGTGTTCTTACGTACGCCTAATACGCATTCGTATCGAGCCGAGCAAATGCTTCGGGAGCATCCGATCGCACCCGATTTAATAAAACTAATGACAGATTGTAACTTCATATCTGATATTGTTCTGTTTTTTAAATTTTGAGCCATAATACACAACACATTTATTCCTAGAAAGTTCATTGAAAAAAATAATTAATAAAAATTACCGGACATTGATACTCGATCATTTGTTATAATTATATCTGGCATGCCAAGAGCTCTAGCAAGCCTAATTATGTCGATTATTAAAATTGAATCTCTCATATAAAACATCACTCTATTTTCCAAATTTTCTTTTTTATGTAGAATTTATAATATACAGCATCATCTAAATCTTCCATCATTTAAAGCCGTTCAATTCATAATTTACTCATATAACTATCTACTTTTCTCAAAAAGTACCTAAGGTTATAAAGTTGTAGATACGTTTACGTCAGTGCTTTTGCTTTAACTATTGTTTTTTTTTCAGATTGCTCGTTTAACGTATCGTCAATTTCCACGTTTACGTCAGAGAGATACGCATACGTATCTAGCATTGCTTTAACTCTCTACTGTATCAGCGCAACGCAATTTTCGATACTGAGTCGAAAGGATCGCCTACTATTGCTTTCAATAGGTACAGTTGCTATCAAGAGCTTAGAGGTTTTTTGATAGATTTAGTTGTCAGTTGTCAAAACAAATATTGTAATTTTCTATAAGGTCCTTTTCGCCAGCGTAAGTAAACCCCAATAAAGCAAGGGTCATCGGCCGATGCCCAAGCCCGACAGGGCACCCAATTCGCCATCCTGTGGCTTTGAAACCACTTATACTAAAAGACTCAAAATTAGATGCAGACCGAACTATGAGGAAATAGCCAGAATAGCAAAGATTAACAACACTAACGCATTCAAGGCAAAGCTGAAAATTAACCCGATTTCAAACGTGAGTACAAGCAACATACCACTAATTTACTCTAACACTGGGATCAGCTGCTCAGAACAAGGGGAACCCCTGTCAAAAAATATTTCAAAACGACCTTCGGATGACCTCAAAGTAACAGAAAATCAGGCAAATATAAACGTAATCCACGTAGCAACAGTGGAGCCGGTAACGGCCACACAAACAGAGGTAACTTTGAACGCAAATAAAGATAGCGAAGGGGAAAAAAGTGAAGAACAATACTACAGCTCTGTAGACAGTAACGACGGGGATTTACCCCAAAACTCGGATGTAGACATGGAGGAAAATACCTCAGATAAAGATCCGGATAAAAAATCCAATACCTCATCATCCGAGGAAACCCCCCCCACCCCAGAAAAAGAAAATATCCCAAACCCCACCCCCTATGATGATTTCACATCAGCATACGTCTCCATACCGTCCGCGGAAGGGCTAAAAATAACTATAATGAACAGCGATGTTCCATCAGCTCTTAGGCAAAATATCATGGGGTATAAAGAAACAAGTGGGCCCGAACTATCAGGGGATGAACGCCAAATACCAGTTCTCAACCAAAAGGTCATACAGCCAATTATGCACGAACTTCCGGAACAACCCAGAGAACTAACACTATCAGACGGCAGAACACAGCCTAAGGAACCGATAAGGGTGCAAAAACCCCCAAAACCACCCGTGACGGTGACCGAACCGACAATTAAAAACGTAATAACAAAGAAACAGCCAAAAGAGGCCGAAAAAGCAGTTAAAGAGACTGAGATACAGCTACCGCCACAAGACGAAGAAGAAAAAACATCCCCTAACAGTACATTTACTCTGCACAGAACCAAAAGAAGCAGAAGGGATAATGGTGATGTAGACAAAATAGAAGTAAATAATGATACGCCCATGGACGTCGAAAATGACACCCCTCCAAAGATAAGTACTAATCTACGGAAAATCTTCAAACAAAAGGTCATAGCAACAATGCCTAAGCCAATCACACTAAAAAACAGATACCACGTCCTAACAGACGAATCAGATGACGAAGAATCGGATGAACAAATCGAGAAACGTAGACAGGAAGCCAGGAAAGAAAGAAGGGGTAGTAAAAAGGTCACAGTAGAGACTGCCAAAGAGGCGGAAAACAAAAAAGAAGGGATTCAAAACAAAAAGAAGCCCACAATGCCACCCATAGTACTAGACGGCGTCCCAGAAGACCACAAAGGGCTAACTGGAGTACTCAGGGAACTAATAAAAGGAAAGTTCAATGTAAAATATACCAACTCATCTACGATAGTCTTCACAGAAGAAAAATCAGACTATGATAGTGTCCTGGCAAACGTAAAAAGGGAAGAAATGGCGTATCATACTTATACCAGTAAAACTGATAAATCTCATGCCTTCGTCATCAGAGGGCTGGGAGACGGCACAAAAATAGAAGATCTGGAAGAAGATCTAATGGAAGAGTATGAGATAAAGATAAGGGCAGCATACCGCATGACAACCAAAAATAGGCCCCTATTCCTGGTAGTCACAGATCCCTCAATAACATTAGATTATCTAAATAGAAACGTACGAGTGGTACTGTACACACGAATTACATGGGAGCTTAGAAGGTCGACTAAGCAAATTATACAGTGCCACAACTGCCAGGCGTGGGGGCACGCCACTGCAAACTGCGGTAGACCATCAAACTGCCTTAAATGCGCTGCTGGACACCATACAAAAACCTGTGTCAAGACTAGAGATACCCCGGCCAAATGCATCAACTGTGGAGGAGACCACCCGGCCAATTTCACAAAATGCAAGGCTTATGTCGAAAGAATAACCAGAATGGAAGAGAGAAAACAAAATAGCAATAAAAATCAAAAACAAACGTACATTCCTGCACCCCTACCCACAAAAAATAGGTGGGAAAGCAGGAGAGAGGCCATGAATAGCACAAATTATAATACGGAGTTCCCTCTCCTACCGGGCGACACGGAGTTCCCTCTCCTACCGGGCAGTAGAGCTGATCCAAACACGAGGACGAATCAGGAAGCACGAAAACAACCCTCAAGGTCAAATAATCAAAATCAAAGCACACAGGGAGATATGGGTGATCTTTTCGCGTTAAATCACGAAATGCAAGAATTAAATTCACTGGTAAACATCTCAGAACTCACACGAGCGGTAAGGGAACTCAACTCACAACTCAGGGAATGCCGCAGCGAAGCATCCATATTTCTAACTTATAACAATTTTATGACCAACCTAAACAACTATAAATTCAGGAATTAAATTCGCTGCGGAATTCCGGGACAAATACAAAATCTGTTCTTACAATGTTAATGGGCTGCTTAACAAGATTCATCTTGTTAGCAACTTCATTTATAAACATAAATTCGACATCGTAATACTTTCAGAGACAAATTTAAAACCACAGCACAAAATAAAAGTAAGAGACTACGAAATTTACAGACAAGACAGACTAGACCAACGCGGAGGGGGCGTGGCTCTCCTTGTCAAACGGACCATTCAGCATGCAGCATTTCCAAACGTAATTTCTAGCATTGAACATGCCATAGTCAAAATAGGGGGTTTTACAATCATTGGGGCGTACAACAAACCACTAAATAAATTCAATTACTTAGATCTTTCAAACCTAATGGCAGCAGGGGAGAAAGTTATAATAATAGGCGATTTTAACGCAAAAAACAGTGAATGGGATTCAAATTGCACAATAAATAATAGAAACGGGAACACACTCAGCGAATTTGCTGATAATAACGACTATCAAATTCACTACACGGAGGAACCAACGTTTTTTCCCTTTAGTGGACAAACCCCTAGCACGTTAGACATCGCGATAACTAAAAACATTAACAGTATACACAACATTAGGACAATTACAACACTAAACTCTGACCATGACCCAGTTTACATTGAAATCAGGACGAAACGAAACATACAGAGGCATAACGGACAATACTATGACTACAAAACAACAAACTGGACCAAGTACAAGGACACACTGAACAACCACATCGTAATTAACAACAACATTACTACAGAGACGGAAATTGACAATGAAATAGACAAACTAACCAACGCCATTATTAAGGCAAGAGACGCCTCTACAGTAATTAAACAAATAAAATCGCATCACGAAAACATCACACAGGAAATTCAGGACATGATTGACAACAAAAATCACATAAGAAAACGCTGGCAGAGACATAGACAAAGGGACGATCGAATAAGACTTCTAGACATCTCAAAAACAATTAACGCCGCTATACGAGACTTAAAAAACAAAAAATGGACAGACATATTACAAAATCTCAAACCACAAGACATTTCATTGTGGAAAGTTGCTAGACAGTACAAAAAGCCGTTTACGCAACTACCCACACTGGAGGACAATAACGAACATTACACAACAGACACAACTAAAGGGGAAGCGCTGGGGGAATACTTCCAAAACAACTTCACAAACAACATTCAAAATAATATTCAACAACAAATAATTGAGGACGTCGTAAATGACATTAGGCTCCTCCCACAGCAAACAGTTCCGACCAATCAGCTGGTCTCACCACGAGAGGTCAAACTAACAATTTTGAAATTAAATAATAGGAAAGCACCCGGACCAGACGAAATCACAGCCCTTATGCTTAAAAAACTAACGAGAAAAGCCATAGTCCAGCTACATTATATTATTAATGCCATTTTTAAAACACAACACTACCCCAAAAAACTAAAAATAGCCAACATCATCGCGATTAAAAAACCGGGTAAAAACGCTAAGCACATTGGGAGCTACCGTCCGATCTCCCTTCTTAACACACTTACCAAAACAATAGACATGATCATTCTTAATAGACTACGAACAATTGAACTAGACAAACAAATAATCCCACGGGAACAGTACGGGTTTCGACAAGGCCATGGTACAGTAGCACAAGTAATAAAAATAGCTCATCAAGCTATGGAAGCCTACAATAATAGAAAACTTACTGTATTAGTAGCACTTGACACCGAAAAGGCATTCGACACAGTATGGACCCGTGGGCTTATTTATAAAATGTTTATAAATGATTTTCCTGTTTACATTGTAAGAACGATTCAATCTTACTTACTAGACAGAACTTTTTACATAAAACTAAACAAAACTTTAACAGGACCATTCAATGCAGAGGCGGGGGTACCCCAGGGTTCGGTACTTTCGCCGCATCTGTACACTATTATGACCCATGACATGCCCATGGGTACTAATGGTGTACAGACGGCACTGTACGCCGATGATACCTGCGTGTACAAGACCTCGGAGCTGGCTGAAATCGCGAACAGGAGGCTTGACATTCACATCAACAGAACATTAATTCCCTACCTGGATGCAAATAAAATGAAACTAAATGCAGCCAAAACAGAAAGTGTAATTCTCACGAGAAAAAGAAAAGGCAACTCAAAAAGAATACTAAACAAATTAAAAATAGGTGAACAAACAATTGAGGCTAAAAAATCAATTAAATATCTAGGGGTGCATCTAGATAGGGAATTGAGGTTCAAAACACACGTTGAAAATAGAGTCGCGAAAGCTAAAGCAGCCGGAAGAGCGCTATATCCTCTCTTCAACAGTAACAGTAGAGTCAGCCGTGAAAACAAGCTACTCTTGTATAAACAAGTAATACGGCCAATCCTAACATATGGATGTCAAGCTTTCTGTTCAATGACAGAAAGTCATTTCAACAAGCTACAGGTCGTACAAAACAGTTATCTGAGGCTGGCACTGGGTTGGCCCCGTTTCTCCAGAGTAATCGACATGCACACAGAGACATCCATGCCAACTATTAAAGATCATATTCGTAAAATATCAGAAAAATTCTACCAAAACAGCCTTCCGAACGACGTTAAGGAAGATATTTTAAACATAACGGAGGCAAATAGTGCTCATAGAAAGCATGGATGTCTCCATAAAGCACTGACACTATACAGACGCAACTAAAAATACAAAAACAAGACAGACAAACACAGACTGGACTCCTGTGAACAAATTACTGAATGTGCAAATTCAAACCGACTAGACGAAAAATCTGGTCGGACGGTGGACTGCACGGTGAAGTCGAAAATCGAAACGGCGATACTCTCGCTGCCTTGATTTGCGGTTAAACCGTGTAGTTCATGAATTTGTACAAATCAGCCAAAATCTATACGGACAAATTGACAAACACAAGGACAACCCTGTTTTTTCAACGCTTTTTCAGGGATTACGAAACAAAACTAACAAAAGACATAATTACAAGAGAAAAGTTCCATTACCGACGTTCCCTCAAAAACCAAAATTGCCATATAATATCATAGATAAGGAGATGGCACTTAATATACAGCAACTTTTTAAACCACTTGCATTAGTGATGACGGGTACGAGACGACGCCCACATTTCTCAAGCTTAGGCCAGAGGATTGAGGCGAAGATTTCGACGAAGCGTATAAATATGTAGTGGTAAATTATATTGTAAATAGTAAAATGAATAAAATTTTTGAGTTTGAAAGGATCGCGAGTTGTTGATGCGCCATGCGCCAGGCACTGATTCCGTTTTCCGTGACGAGTTGAAAATTTTAATTTTCGTAATTGTTGCAACTCGTAATGCAGATTACCCAAAATCTATAAAGTAATTATGTTCTTTGCAACATGTCACATCATTTGTAGAATTGTAGGTCGAATTTTATGGATTTTAACCTTGTACACTGTCAGTTTTTAGTTCTTCCCATTTTGATTGGCTACTAGTATACAAAAGTTATATCCTTTTTATATAAATTGGAATTTTTGTATTCTTTGTAAAATCCGAACACAATGAAATAAAAAATGGGCACTGTTATATTTTCGTTTATTTTTACACATATAATAAAAAAAATATAGTTAAATTCTCATTTGCGATATTTGCCTTGAACACGGTTTGACCCTTATAAAAGGGCAGCCCGCGCTGAATAACACCGGTATCATGCGATACACCGAGGTGCATCGACTTCATTCGGCGCAGGCAGTGGTGTGACGCAAGTAACGCAATTGCGTTAACGCAATGAGTTGGCACAATAGAGTGCGCCGGAGTTAGTGTATCAATGCAAAGAATTTTAATGCGTTACCCATGTCTATTAAAGAGAAAGTTTATGAACTTCTGTCACAGCTTAACAATACAGCTAAAACACTCTCTTGGCGGCAACGGTTTGCGTCGATTTCGTCGCGCATCGCTTAAGCTCCGCCTTCGAAGGGAAAAGACGGTTTTGGCGTTCAGAAGTGTACTTAGGTAAGGTGTTGAGTCGTGGGTATAATTTCGTTGATTGTATAATTTCGTGGAGCCTATAATTTCGTAGATTTTGTTTGAGTTAAAGGTACTGTTATTATTTTGGTGACTCTTTAGCTGTGAGTAGAATGAATGAAAAAAAAGACATCATTCTGTTTGTGCAGTCAAAAGCTGTTTTAATAAGGGTTATACCTGCAAGAAAACATTCTTTAGTTTTTCCAAGGACCCAAACCGATAAGTACCACATTATAAGAAATTTTCATTGTTAAAAATATAATTTATACAGGGTGTCCCATTAGTGCGTTATTGTTCATTATTTTGTTGTAGACACGTAAGAAAGTTTTAAATAAAAGTTATATGGATTTGAAAAATACCTATATATTTTAAAAATATCTTTGGATATACAGGGTGTCACGTTTTTGCCTGGCAAATTAAAATGTATGTTTTTTAAATGGAACACCTTGTATTTTATTTTATGATGAAATTATTAACACCCTAAATTATTGTAAAGACGAATTGCTACAGAAAATTTTTATCAGGTATGTGTGTGGTTACCTTTTAATAAAAGCCTTGCGGATCCACTCCTGCGATACATGTCTTAAATATAACAAAGATCACGTTGAAATAGATGATTTTTCTTTTTATTGCTTTTTAAAGGCATATGATAACGCCAATTCAGATACATTTGGAAATCTGCAACTGTCAAATGATGAATTTGTAGAACTAATATTCAATATTGAAAAGATATTTCAAAATAATTTTGAAGAATTGGCTACAAAAAATAACATTTGTACCACACTTTTAGAATTAATTAACCCAATACCCTTTAGTCATCCATGCTAACGTTTTCCAAAAGAATAACTTATTTTATTGTATGTTTAATCTCAATAACTAAAAAATATACTGACAATTAGTTTGACAGAATTGTCATTTATTTAAAATTTTAAAAATAATAGCAGTCGGTTGATTAAAATATGAACGGTGATTGGCGAATTTATTTTTTTTGCAGTGTTCTCACTACCTAGAATGGATATGAAATATATTCGTTCAATTGAAGGCAATAGCATACTTTTTCGTTTTGTAATCTGTGCATGGATATTAGCCAATCTACGCACATACTACAAAACGAAAAAGTATGTTATTGTGTTCAACTACGAATATATTTCATATCCATTTTAGATAGTAAGAACACTTTAACAAAATTAAATCTACAATTTACAGTTCATATTTTGGTCACAAAACTCCTATTATTTAAAATTTTTTTAATAAGTGACAATTCTGTTAAACTAATTGTCAATATATATTTTAGTTATTGATATTAAATATACATTAAAATTTTTGTGCAGACTCGATAAATAATAGCATTTTTGTTTCTATTGTGTCCACATTTAAAAAAAAATAAATTTTAATTAAACTACATGATACTAATTTAATTACGAGTATTAAAACTAAAGTCCTGAAAGTTTCGGTGAAGATGAAGACAGAGCATCTGCCTTCCACGCGAAAAGTCCGGGATCGAATCTAGGCCGAGGACTAATTAATTTTTCATGTTTATTTTATTTTATAAATTAGTCAACTTCGTAAATTATTTTAAAATTAGTTATTTTGTCTAAATAACCTAAAATAATTTTTTAAATTTGAAGATTTTCGTTAGTGGGTCGTAGAAAAAATATACTGACCATATCGAGTAGATTGTTCATATCACAATCAGACGATTGAGTTCTCCGCCTACGACGTCGTGCTCAAACTTCGTCTTTGTGTGATATGGCTATCATATCCACCCTTGTTGAACAAACTACAATTTATTTGTTTTCTTGGTTTAAGTTTTACATCAGAAATAGGAATTAAATTAATTTACTTTTCAAGTTTTCTTGTAAAAATCGATATTACTTTCTCCAAGTACAAATTTAGTACCTACCTAAAATAAGTACTAATTATGTTATATCTTGTAATATTGTAATTCAAATTTCACATTACTATAAAGTTTTAAAATTTCCTACTTCGGTATGGTCAGATAAAAATTGAATATATTATATTAATAAAAACTGTCAAAGTATAACTTCTACAAATCTGTATTTCAAATAATAAGAATACATCTAAATATAACCAATATTGTTAAAACAAAAGCACACATTCTTTATAATTCCAAAATACCATAGAGTTCCCAGACCTCAGTCGAAGCATTCGTTTATCTAGGTATAAACCCTTTGCGCGAAGAGTAACACTTGCCAGAGACACGGGGGTACCACTTGATTTGCATCCACGAGCGTGACACAATTCTTTAACAATTGAAGCCCTTGGTGTAAAATGGATCCAAGCCACAATTTGTCGTGAAGTGACTGTTTTGGCTCAAAACATTTGTTAACGAGGATTTTACTAGCCATATATAAATTATTTTACCTCTAATCCGAAAGATGTGCTATTTTTCGTAATATTTATATTTAAATAATTTTTTTAATTATGTTTGAAAGATTTAAAACAAATTAAAAATGTAATTTCCCAAAACTTACTTAATATGGCATGTGACCAACCTTATTACGCCAAGGTTTTCAATTTTTTCAATAATAAAAAAATTGTTTAATCCGGGCCCGACTTTTCCCTTGAATCTAACAGAGATAGCACCATTCCGTCTTGCTTTTGGTTCTCGACCGCCAGATCAAAGACGCCGACACGGAGTTGTGGAGCTGTATTGTATAAGCTGTGCTTCTGTTCTTTTAAACTGTGTTAGCAACAGAGTTGGGTAGTATTCGAATACCTGGTATTCTGAATCTTATTCAGAATACATTTGGCTGGTATTCGAATACATTTGTGTTTTCTGTATTCGCTATTCGACTGAATACTTTTTTAGTTAGTACTCGGTATTTTGGATTCAGAATATACCATTTTTGAATCCTAGTATTTGAATACCCATTTTGTATTCGAATCCCGGTATTCGAATCCCGGTAGTCGAATCCTGTTTTCGAATACTGTTTGATTATTTCTATGAACATTGCGTTACGTGTTACGTTTAACTGAACTTAAGCGTATTAAAACACGTTCTCGGTGGTTGTGGACGGCGCAGTCGAAGTGCTTCTGAATTCGCGATGCCGACGATCGGGTGATCGGGGTGAAATTTAGTCATTGCGAAAGCGCGAGACAAGCAAGTCGCTTAAGGACTTTAGAAGAATAGCTTAGGCTTAGGTACGTATTCACTTGTGCAGTAATTGCAATATTGCCATTCTATTTTATAATAAATTTCAATACATGTTATAATTTGTTTGTGATTTCTATGCTCGTCTATTAAAACAATGTACGACGGAGATATTTTATTACTAATAATTCAAACAGGTATATTAAATAAATAAAAATGCTTAAAGGTTTAAATAATTATAAGTATGTAATGTAATGTGGAGTATGGATTTAGTTGTCGATGTCGTAATATAAATTTAACGTAAAGATATTTTTTTGCAGATTAAAATTACCTACCGATGGAGAAAGATATCGTTACCCAGGAAACCATTTCTAACGGTTTAGAATGTTCAGATCCAGAAGAACCGTTTATTGGAGGTTCATCCGACTCGGATTATGAGCAAGAGTGTGCAAAAATACGGAGGCTGATGATTATTCCTGACTATTTTAATATCCGTGCTTCATCAGGAAAAAAAAGTATTTCTAAGCGAAATACATCATCAGTGGATGGAAAGTTTCAAAAAACCGATTATGTTCGACGAGAACCAACTCCCTCGACTTCTTTTTCAAGGTAAAAACTAAGTGAATTCAATACACAGAATTATTATTTTACTTTACTTTAATGACTCCAAGTTCTAGTTTTAGTAGGTAGTAGTTGTAGTTAGAGTATGTTAGTATATAAAAAATATACTTCCTTTTTAACCGAATATCTAACTTCCTTATGTTTAACCGGAAGTATTTTTTATAGAATAGGAAAGAGTAACAAGGCGTCAAATTTGAAAAAAAAAACTTTGTATTACTATACAAGGTAGGTGTCCCATTAAAAAATGGCCATCTGTCAAAGTTTGATATTTCCGTCAAATTGAATTAGTTTTGACATGAGATTCTATAGGCTCAGAAAAAGTACTTTAACTTTGCCAATAATGTACATACATGAAGGCTCTAATTAAAAACTTTTTTTTAGTACTCAAGACTCTCAAGAAACTCAAGAGAGCTTGCCTGAAACAGCGGAGAACGACCTTTTGCAATTCAGACAGAAGCCTTTATTTGACGGACATTTTTTTTCCCCAGAAAGTATAAAAAACTCGGTTGTAGTTGCTAAATGTGCATTATGTCTTCCTACCATAACTTTAATCTGTTGACCTAGGAACAGTACATCCAATTTTGTCAAACACCTTAAAAAGAAACACACTGGAGCCGTCGAAAAATATAATTTACATAAAGCTAAACGCCTAGATTTATCAATGAAAACGAAATGTGGTTCAGGAAAACTTGTACAATCAAAAATATCAGCTTAATTTTAGAACACATAATTAATCGCGTCAATGACAGATTTAAGCAGTACTTTGACCTTACAAAAACCGAAGCAAAAGATGCAATAATTGCTGCAGCAACTTGTCCGACTATTAAATTTAGGTGGCTATCACAAACCATTTCATCGCAGTTTGGAATAGACATTGAGGAATTAAAACATATTATTATTGATGCTGGTGTGGAACTCCAAATAGATATTCAAAAACCAGATTTTAATGGAGAAGAATCAACGCCCAATAATGATATTAAATTTTTCGAATTTGAAAGTGAGGAAAATCCGGAAAAAATAGCGATTTAATTTCTCGGGATAATAGGGATAAACTAAAAGGAAAAATTCAACTTAACCTTCTGCAATATCTTGAAGATAAAAGATTAGGTTTGGAAATGCTTAATGATTACCCTTCAATTAAACAAATATTTTTAAGATATAACTCCATATTACCGTCGTCTGCTCCAGTCGAACGATTGTTTTCTTTTGCGGGTATGGTAAATACGCCAAAACGTCAAAATTTAAGTGACGATCTTTTTGAAATGTTGGTTTTGTTGAAGGCAAACGGGATAGGAAATGCTTTTTGATTGATGTTTTCTTTCTGATATCCAAGTACTAGTGCGTCGTTATGAATGTTATGAATATTTTATAATATAATTTTATAATAATTTTGTGTTTTTATTTGAACTTTTTCATTATTTTATTGTTTTATTTATAATTTTTTAATAAAATTTAAAAAAATAAAAATCAACAAATGTTATTTATTAAACAGTTATTTTATTTAACCTCACTGTGACACTGTGTATCAAAAAATGATATTTCAAGTTTTATTAAACATAGATTTTTTTAATTTTTTTTATATTTTTATAAATTAACTACATAAATAATAATCAAGCTTTATGTGCGCACGCACATGTTATTTGTAGTTGGAATATTCATAAAGTATTCATATGTAAATGAATCCAGGTATTCGAATACAGCGGTATTTAAATACTTTTTTTTCTTTGTATTCGAATATTGATTATTCGAATACAATTTAGAATACAGGATTCGTATTCGAATACCGGATTTCAGTATTCGAATACCGGATTTCAGTATTCGACCCAACTCTGGTTAGCAATAAATGTGACTTTACTACCCTCTTGTGATAGTACGTCACTGGAGACCGGAAACACTAGTCGTCCATTTGCAAACACCATTTTAGTTACAAAGTCGTTTAGCGGCAAATTATATACACACAGATCATCTATGAATATGATGAAATAAACTACAAAAACGTTTATTTTTCCAAAATTCTTTACAAGGTAAATAAATCACTAATAAACAAAAATATCTACATATTTGATGTTACAAGAGGGTGTTCTAGTACCCCTAGAGGCAAAAGGCTACAGAAACTAGAAGTTATAAACGTTTAAAATGTCACAAGTCACATGTCACATATTGTAAATATTGATTATTTGAAAAGGAATAATTCCCAAAATTTTCACAAAAATGGATTTTGAAAGCAAAGTTAACCAAGTTGAAACCATCGAATCATTGACTAAAGAAGCTGAAATATTAAAAAAGAAATTGGAAGACGAAAGACAGAAATTAAACGATGTTACATGTAAGATTTATAATATGTGTTCATGTTATTTTTCTAATAAATATATTTTTAGTGGCCCAAGTTGCTGAAAGATTAGATATTATTAATTATATGAATATTAAGCCAAGGAGGACATTAAAAGGACATCAAGCGAAGGTTTTATGTTCAGATTGGTCACCGGATAAGAGACATATAGTTTCATCTTCACAGGTTTTACTAAATTTAAGTGTTGAAAAGGCATATATTAAAAAATAGTATTGGCTATAGTTTGTTTTAACAATTTAACAATATTATGTCTAGTGATTACAAAAGGCATTGTCCACACATGGTCCTGTTTATGCTTTTTATTATCTGCAAGTTATTATAGCAATCACTGCTTAGTAACAAGTATGAAAAAGCCATAGATTTAAGCTAAGATCAAAGTCAAGAATTATTACAGATGTAATCATAAAAAAGCATACAGTTATTTTATTAGAATGGGGTTTGTGTCAAAATCAACAACGAACAACTACTAGACCAATTTTGTTTAAAACGTAAAAGTCACAAATTTATATGAAGGAAGTATTGTCAGTTATTATCAGTTAAATGCCATTTTCTAGTTGTAGTTGAAGGTGATTTCCAGGAAAGTACTCCATTTATTTTGCAATGTGACAACATCAAGTGTTGTAGTCAAAAATGCTAAATCATTCATAAAACGCAATCTCGTACACACACATGCACACCATCTCCATTTAGTGGGAGTCTCGGCTCTTTCTAATACAGAAGGCGAGGCGTCAACTCTATATGTCTCACATAAAATACTTGCATATAAGCAAATGTTCATCATTGTTCAAAACTAATTGCTGTTAACACATTCCAATGGCTACTTGTAAACTTTTTTATGAAAACTAATTGTACTTACCATTTTTGAAACTTCATTATTTGTCATTCTAAGCATGGTTGGATTTATAATTAAAAATATTTTAATATATGCCTTTTTTTTAATTATTAATATTAATAAAAATTGGTAATTTGGTGATTATTTGTAATAGGATGGCAAAATGATAATATGGGATGCTTTTACAACTAACAAGGAGCACGCAGTGACAATGCCAACTACATGGGTGATGGCATGTGCTTATGCGCCATCAGGGAATTTGGTAGCTTGCGGGTACTTTAAATTTAATATAAAAAAAGACAAATTTGACAAACAATCACCTTATGTAATTTTGTATAGCCATCTTACAACATCAAGGCATAAATCTGATAGTTTTATCAAAAGCAAATTTGATGATGATTGTGCTAAATCATGTCGTCCTTGTTTTGACTATTGGTCGTATCTCAAATTTACAATAATATCCAGGAGGCCCTTAATAAGATTTTTCGTGGAATGAAACACTTTATTACTGATAAATTTTAAAGTAAGTTGGTTTGTTTCCTCTGATTTTCTGTTGTACTTTGATCATTCTGGGAGCTATGTACATTACAGTTTATGTTGTTCGATGTAAAAGATGTTTTTTACAAGTTTGTTGGAGTTACGACCAATAGCCATAAAAAAATATGCCATATTATTAATTACAACTCAGCCAGAAAAAAGCATTAGTAGTTTAACTACATTTTTTTATTTCAACATTTATTATTAGTTAGCAATAATAAAAACTATTTAATTAACGGTATAACACAACAAAATATAATTGAATATATTATGTTTAACAAAATCAACAAAATTAGTTTTCATAAGGCAAATTTTGGTAAAATATTTTGTGTTCTATATTTCTTGTAACATATCTGATGTAGAAAATTAATTTAAATCCCTATATTGTTCTGCACATATTTTATTTGGACTAGAATTGAGAGGTGTTAAGGCGACATTTTGTAAACATATTTCTTTTTAAAGTTAAAGATCTGTATGTGTTGGTATTATGGCAACTTTTGAAGTAAACTTTATGTAAATTTTGTTTTTAAATTTTTACTTCTTTTATTTTTGTCCAATTAACTTTTTCTTTCTGATTATCAATCCTTATGTTCATTAATCTAATCTCCTGTGATAATTTCCTAAAATTTTTAAAGTCAAAATAGTTAGGCTGGGTCACATTATATGGATGTTTTCTTTTGCGAGGCGAATTGTGGGTATGAGTTGAGACGGCATGAAAATTTCTTCACATTTTCTTAAGGCATAAGATATCGCACTGTGGGCAGAATCCCCTTCATTCTGCCCATGATATGGTTCGAAAAATCTTAAGAATATCTCGTCCATACAGGATGTACCTATAGAAACTCCCAGGCCAGATATTTTGGTAAGTAATAGAGGTATTTAAATTCTGTGAAAGCCAGTTCATAGAGCGCTAAGAGAGCTTTAATTTTAGATATAAATTAATTTTAAATAGGTCAATATGTAGATGACGCTGCGCTCAATATTATTTTTTCGATGAAAGGATCTTTCTTATATAGCGGATCTTGTAAAAAATACATTTTTAAGCAGATTTTGTTTTATAAACTAATTCGATAAATCTAGCCATTTTTGATATACAGAGTGGGTCACTCAAAACAGTTTCATTCTGTTTTTTGGCATTAATCATTGGATTTTAAGAAAATGCTAAAACAGGTCGATTTTTATTCCAAATTGAACACATTTTCACAATGCAGACATCTGTCATGAGTCAACCACCTCCCTTCCACTTCTCCAACCCCTTAATTTTAAATAAGGAATGTACCATGTACGGCACATTATTGAAAAGGTAATTTTGTGGGGAAGTCGTAAATATGATTGTTTATTGCGATACTTTTAATTTTAGCGACCTCTTTCGGGATAAAAAACCTGTAACGTATTATAAAGTGTGACACTTTATTTGAAAGCTAATTTAATTACTAATTCAATGCACCACATATCATTAATATTTCCATATTGCACTTGCAACAAAATAAAGTTAGCAATAATAATGTTTAAAATAATGCATGACTAATTTTCAAACTATTGCAAGTGCAATATAGAGGATATTTATATTAATGTTATGTAGTGCATTGAATTAGTAATTAAATTTGCTTTCAAATAAGGTGTCACAATTTATAATAATGTTATGTAGTGCATTGAATTAGTAATTAAATTTGCTTTCAAATAAGGTGTCACACTTTATAATACGTAGGTTTTTTTATCACGATAGAGGGCGGTACAGTTAAAAGTATCGCAATAAAGAATCATATTTATAAATTCCCCATAAAATTACCTTTTAGTGATGTACTACACATTGTACTGTCACACTAGTTCACTAGTCACATAGTTTTTTTCCGCTAGAGGGCGATAAATTAAAGTAACGCAGTGTATTTTTGAATTTCCCATTAAATTACTTTTTCAATGATGTGCCATACATGGTACATACCTATTTAAAATTAAGGTGTTGGTGAAGTGCAAGGGAGGGGGTTGACACATGACAGATGTCTGCATTGTGAAAACGTGTTCAATTTGGAATAAAAATCGACCTGCCATAGCATTTTCTTAAAATCCAATGATTATTGCCGAAAAACAGAATGAAGCTGTTTTGAGTGACCCACTCTGTATATCAAATATTGGCTAGATTTACTGAATTAGTTCGTAAAACAAAATCTGCTTAAAATGCATTTTTTACAAGATGCGCTACATAAGAAAGATCCTTCCATCGAAAAAAAATTATTGAGCGCAGCGCCATCTATATATTGACCTATTTAAAATTAATTTACATCTAAAACTAAAGCTCTCAATGTTCTGTAAACTGGCTTTTGCAGAATTAAAATATCTCTATTACCAAAATATCCGGCCTGGGAGTTTTTGTTGTTACAAGTGGTTTTTGCAATAAAATAAAGTAGCATTAAAACCATAATGGTATTTTTGGCCTGGTCTGCATAGCCGTCGCAATAAAGATTCACAGTCTGAATGCCACTTTTGTCATTTTCCTTGTAAAAATAAATACTCTGCCATGGATATTTGCGAGGAACCTCTCTTGTTTTCAGCTTCATGCCAGACAAAACAGTTACAGTCTGTAGTGCCCAAATTAAAAAATGGTAAAGTTGTAGTTACTTAGTCTATTCTTATAGAATACCTTGCAATCATGGGTAAATATATCACTTGCTGCAAGTCGAAAACAGCACTAATTACTTTTGGATTATTTTGTGATTCTTTCTTGCCTTTTTCTTTTATATCTCTAATTTTTCTTTTATGTGAGTAGTAAATCGTTCTTGCAGCTTTTCTGTAATGTAAGCACAAACTACACTGGTCTTTTTTCGGTTGATTAAATGACAAATTAAAATATTATAGTAGGTATTATAGCTAGCAAATTCTCGTACTTCTATCTCGTTCTCGTACATATCGTACATGTTAGACAATGACAAATCTCCATGGAGGTACTCTCGTTTAGAAGATTTTCTGCAATAGTGGGATTCTTCTCTAGGGAACCTCTCGATATGAAATTTTACATCTTTATATATTTTTGCATGCAGTGTTCGTTATCTATTGAGCAAACTAACATAATTTTAAAAAAGTGAGATACGACTTATAGCTAAAATATCAAATGTTATAATGTTAAATACGACATTCCAACATTTATGTTTTATTCCATCAGTAATTTATTATTACAAATAATGTTATCAGTATACAAAGTATGCAGTTTTAGTTATCTATTAAGCAACCTAACTCAATTTGAAAAAAAAATGAGATACGACCAATAGTCATAACAACGTCGATGTTATTGAACTTTTACTAGTATACCATATTTGATATGGCTACTATTGGGTGGCCACCATTATTGTGGACAAAAATAGCATCTTAACTTTAAAAAATTACATCAGCTCTTGTCCAATCTAAGTAACATAATACCAACTATAATATTTATTATTATAGTTAGAATCAACACTACAAAAATCTTAGTACATACTTTTGGTCTGTTAAAAATTCATCAGACTTTGAGAAAACTTTTGTACATGACAAATATCACAGAGCTGTCAAATGAAAGTTACTATTAACAAAATGTGAATATTATTGTACTGTAAAGATAATGATATTGATCAATAATAAATATATGCATATTTTGATTCTCTTGAATAAAAATTCGAGACGCTAAAATGGTGGTTCCCACCTTATCGAGACTGAGGCCCACAAGGGTAAACTCGTAGCGTAACGAAAACGAGAAATGATTTAACTTGGAACGAAATACCGAAAGCCAATAGTAATATTAGCACGTTGAATTTTTTGGTTTGTGAAGCATTGGCAGTACTTAGGTTAAACCATGTGATGATTTTCACAAGCCTTGATTTTTATCGCCTTTTGATTAGGGTTTAAAAACTTGTTCGAACAATTTATCCAATAATAATTGGCTCCTTTACCTCTTAAGCCTACTCATGTAAAATATTTGGGCTTCTTATTTCGCCTATTTATATTCTATTAATAAAGGAAGGATGAGTATTGCAACTATGTTAAAAGAAATAAATTGGCTTTCAGTTCAGAATTATGTTCAGTACATGACTGATATTTATTTATAAAATAAAAATGACTTAGTACCATCGCATCAGATCTATTAGAAAAAATTCAATATAATTCGCAATATCACAACTATAATACAACAAACCAATCTGACTTTCATGTACGGTAAGCTATCACTAAAAGTTCCCAAAATACAATTTTTATTAAAAGTTAAAAAAAAATTAATAGACTGCCTACAGAAATTAAAAAAAAAACAATAAATGTATTCAAAAGTAACCTCAAACAATACTTGATAAATAAACAGAACGGATATACTTTCTTGGGATACTCTTTAAACCTGCCCTTTTTAAGTATTTCCCTTAATTTATTGTTATTTTACCCCTCGTTTTATCCGCATTTATTATAGATTATTTGTTTTGAGATCATGTACTTTATTTTAAAAAATTTAACTTGTTTAACAAATTGATGTTATATTAATACCACTTACTATGTTTAAATTATTAATAGTTTTGTGAAGATGGGTTATAGCCACAAAACTATTTCTGTGTTAAAGTAGATCCATAGAAAGCAATGTAATTTACAAAGGCCTTCTTTCAACATACAAATAAATGACAACTTTATAATTAAAATGAAAAACACAACAAAATACCTTGGTATCATAAATGATCCAAATTTGAAATGGGCATTATATCCTACCTCTCTTTTATATAATAAAAAAGTGC